AGTAAAGCTAGGAAACCATGAGTTTTGGCTAGCAGCTATGGATGTAATTGAACTACGGAAGCTCTGCATGGACAAGATGTCAAAAACTCTAAACACAAAAGACTTCAATAAGCCTGGCGGCTGCATTGCTCCTGAGTAGGTCTGGGTGGGGGTCTGGGGGTGTGGGGGTGGCCAACCCCGTGTGGGGATCTGGGCAGGGCCTTGGGGGTCGGGTCCTGACGTATGCTGCGGGAAGAAGGCGGGAACATGTGGCATTGCCTGGCCCAGGCTCAGGGTCCTCAGGTAGACCTTGGCTCCTCTGCTGTCCAATCATCGGGGTGGGAGATGTTCCGGAGGGGGAGAACACAACCTTACCTGGATGTGCTATGTCTTATATATTCTGGAAGCTGTGCAAATGCAGGGATGGGAGTAGATATTCTGCTGGGATGGGGCTGCGTTGGTTTCCTCGGACTCCGTGGAGCTCTGCAATGCTGCTGCTTTGGGCCCTGGCAGGATGGGCTGGGGTCTCCATGCCCTGGGTGGCATTTTGGCAACGGAGGTGCCTAATGGAGCCAGTGGAGGAGCTGGCTCCCTGGAGGGCTTGGGCCAATCAGCCATTCCTCCCCATCCCCACACATTTTTCTCCTCCTGTTCTCACATCATCACACAAACATGCACACAGGACCTTGGGGGGTGGACAAGTCAGGGGGTGTGGGTATGGACCCCATTTCCGCATTCCTGTGGCAGCCTGCCCCCCAATTTTATTTGCACATTAAACACCTCCACCAACGTCATTCCACACAAACACACACTGAGGGCCTTGGGAGTGAGCACATTCAACGGCATTTGGCAAGGGGATCTTTTAACCTCATCCCAAGTGCCGGTGCCCACTTCCAATTTGAAACTGCACTTAGACACAGAGCGCTGTGGGGGTAAGAGAGGTTTTGTGGTGGAATCAGCTGGCGTAGGCCAGACAATGCCTGCACTGCCCGCTCACAACAGCCACGAATACACCTCATCAACACACACCAACACTGTATTTGAGCAGGCGGAGGGAGACTAGAGGTCTTAGCACACCTCTGTTGTCGCTTGGCTTCCCGGGGCTGGAGGCTAGGAGGGGGATCTGGCTGGGGCCTGGGGTGGTGGGTTGCTTTGCCCAGCATTGGGTGGGGGAGCCTGCTCATCAGCACCCCAGCAGAAAGGGCGAACTCTGGGAACCGGTGATGGTTGTACCCCTTGTGCAGCAGTACCGGGACCAGAGTGAATAGGGTGTGTATGGGGGGCATGAGTGGGTGTCTGGTGTGCATTTTTGTAAGTCTTAGGTTGTAGGAGTATCTGTGAACATGAGGGAGGGAGTGTGTCACTGTGTTTGTGTATGACTATATTTCAGGTGGGGCCTTTGACTCCTCCCCTCTCCTGGGTCTTCTTTTGCTGCTATACATCTTCTCCTCCCCTCCCCCTGCCACACTTGGTATGGAGCGTGGTGCCTTGGTCTGCCTGAGTGTTCCCAGCTCTCGGGTCAGGGGGTTTAAGATTTTTGTAGTCTGCCTGATCAATCCCGGTGGCTGCCTGGTGGGATCTGAGTCCCCGGGCTGTGTTGGGTCCCCGGAGGGGCTGGTCACCCCTGGGTCCCGGGTCGCTGGGTTCCGCGCTCGGCCGGCTAGGGGGTGGGAGGCTGCAGGCGAGCCTGTGGGCTTGCCGCTGATATCCCCCGGGATAGACTATGCTGGTTGTGGCCCCCCGGGGCAATCCTCTGCACCTCTCGAGGCAGGCAGGGGCTTTTCTGGTTGCATTCTCCCTGGGGTCCCTGCACTCTGTGGCTGCTCCAGGATCTCTGAGACTTGGAGCTTATTCCATCTCCTACACATCTTTGGGGGCAGATCTTTGGCCCCTCACACTCTATTGAACGCTCCTATAGAGAAACCTTACATATACATGCGAGGGTACACACACAGGTGCTCATATGGTGTTCTCATAAGTATAAATTTGGGCACATTCAACACATGTCTTAAGGTTGTGGTTGGCACTAAATGCATTGTGATTTATTAAAACAAACACAGTAAAACAATAAATGTGACATCTCTTTTCTGCAAAAAAATGTTCACAGTTGATGCTAATACCTATGCTCCTTCAAGGGATGTGCTCCTGGCTTCAAAGCATAGCATCTTCAAGTACAACATTTTTCTTTACTTGTGAGTGATTATACATATTAGGGCTGGGGGTAAACGATTATTTTTAAAACGATTATTGTGACGATTATTTGATCGAATAGTCGACTATTCTAATGACTATTTAGAAAATTTGTCTAATGATTATTTTTCTATTGCACAATTAACAAAAACCAGAAAATCTCAAATAAATTCCTCAAAAAAATTGATAAATTCTTACTGTAAGAGAATAAACACTACAGGCCTTCCATTTTGTATAACACTGCTTTTATTGTGTTGGTTGGTTATGTTCTGGTGACGTGTAGAACTTGGGAGTGCAGGCTGCTGCCTGAGAGGTGGTAGAAGACGGAGTGTCTCCATACTGCTTTGTTTTGGTCACTTATGTGCGTGAGGCGAGTGGTGTTACGACCCTTCCTGGGGAGTTTGGCTCATGTGCAAAAAGGAAGGGACAATAACGGGATTTAAAAGTTAAAATGATGACCAGGTTTATTTACAACTACAAAAAATCATAAATCTTTCCATCCACAGGTTGGGAATAATAAAACTAATTCTGCCTGTGGGGAATTAAAACAAAGTACAAATAACTAGGGATGTCCCACTGGGCAAAGATTACAGGGTTCTGGACCAAAATAAGGATCTCCAAAAGTCCAACTCTAAACTGGGTGGTTAAACCAAACTCACGGTGATATTTTAAACTAAACCGAAAACCCACAACACTCTAAATGTAATAAAAGGGAGATCTGCACCACAAAACAGATGCACTCTAAACCAAAACGTAACAGCTTATCCCAACGCAAGAAGCTGTTAGCGAAGATGCTAACAGTAGCTTTACCCACGTTAAGTTCAAGCTACCAAGTTTAAATAAACCAAAAACACCCAGCAGCAAACAGACCAGCACGGAGGAGAGACTGCTAGCACCAAAACAGCTCTCCTAATGTCTGAAAGAAGCTCCTTTATGAAGGGAGAAACGCTCCCGGTGATTTTCTACATCTGCGGTAGAGACGAAGCAGCGCATCTGATCCCGGAAGTTGTTGTCCGTTGCCGGGAGACGAAGGCGGGCAAAACGGGAAGAGAATCTAGTAGTGGACGGACATTGTTCCGGGTCTTCGGTATTTGGCGGAGATGTTAGTGAAGGCGGAGAAGAGGGCGAACTAGAGGAAAAACAGGCAGATTCCTCCTCTATTTACAAACTCCTGGGGATGCAAAAAGTGGGCGTGGTGCGTCGACTTCCGGATCTGACGTCGACAAATTTCTAGAATCGAGCCGTCGACGTCGTCGAGGCTTCGCTACAGCCCTAATACATATGTAGACAAATAAACTTATTGATATGATGTGTAGATACATTAGCTTGTTTATATTTCGTGCAAGTTACATAGTTTTTTATTTATTTATTTATTTATTTGCTTCTGTTAGTTGAAAAATGAGAAAAGCCCCTTGAGAAAATAATTTTGAATTAAATTGCAAAATTGAAAAAAAAAAAAATGTAATTTGTTTACTTTCCAGAATCGTTCAGCCAAAGTTTAAAATCGCAATTTTGGTCCAAAAGTGAGAGATCGTTAAGCCCTAGTAGCTGGGCTCTCTCTTAGACATAGGGTGAGAAGCTCTGTCATCTGGGAGCCGCTCGGAGTACATCCGCTGGTCCTCAATATTGACAGGAACCAGTTGAGGTGGCTCAAGCATCTTTAAGTGCCATAAAATTAGATAATCATGACATATTTATTTCAGTAATTTCGTAAAATAGTAAAACTTGTATATCTGATTAAATATTTACAAACAGAATGATATATTTCAAAGGTTAAGTTCTTAAATTTTGATGATTATAGCTGACAATTAATGAAAATCCACAAGTCAGGATCTCAGAATACTAGAATTTTGTGAAAAGGTTCAGTATCGAAGACCCCTGGTTCCACACTCAAAACATGTGCGAAAGACTTTTAAATGGTCCTTCAATCAACTTCTGTAGTGTACACAGTCATAGGGAGGATTCCAATAGACAACCGTTAACACCTTGCAAGGAGAACGGTAAGACATGAAGGTCATTGCTAAAGAGGCTGTCTGTATATAGCACTTTCCATGCACATGCATAGAGAGGTGAAGGGAAGGACAATATGTGGTAGGAAAAAGTGTACAAAACTGCATCCTGGACAGGATCGTGAAACGAAACTCATTACAAAATGTAGGGGGGAATTAACAAAGGGCAGACTGCAGCTGAAGTCAACCACCATGCACAGACATATGCAAGACATGGGTTTCAGCTTTGGCATTCCTTGTTTCAAGCTACTCATGAACAAGAGACAACTTCAAAAGCATCTTGACTGGGAGGGGACAAATGTGGGAAGGGACACGTCTCACTGTCACAAATTTATCAGTCACTAACCCTGGGAAGAATAAGTAATGCACATATTAAAATTATGGAGCCAGATTTCAATGTAATTAAAAAGTTAAGTGCACAATTCCGTTAAAGTTAAGGACATCTAATGATCAAAACATTTACATCAGGAAAATAAACTGTGCTGCTTACCTTCATTATCTTGCATTTTCGCCCTTAGTCATCCACAGCTGTTTGTGGTGGTTTGTTGCTTTCTCTTTTCTCCACTTTGTATTCAAACAGGACAGTGAGTGTGCAACAATCTAAAGGCTTCGTGTGAATTGAAATTTCTCTGGCGCATTAGTTCCCGTCTCCGAGGCAGTGCCAAATGTAACGGTCCGGTTCTACAGGAGCACTGCACTGTAAAACCGCCATTGTTAAGCGTTCATTATTGTCCTGAACATCTTTAGATGCATCAGATGGTTCAGGTGACGTTTTTTTCCTATTGCCACATTACTCAGTGTCTGTATGGTCTGTTTGTCCAGAACTCCCACTGCATTGCATCGAGAAAGATGAGGAAGTTCTGACTGACCAGCAGCTCTGGAACCAGGAGAGGACCTCCAGTTTGGACCAGGAACAAGCTGAACCTTTACAGGAGAACCCAGAACCTCAGCAGATTAAAGTGGAGCAGGATAACCCAGAACATTTGCCGATTATAGAACAAGAGGAGCTTTGCATCAGTCAGCATGAAGAGCAGTTTGTAGTGAAGCTGGAGAATGTTACCTCCTTTTCAACTCCTATTGATGAGGAAAGAAACTACGATGGACCAGAACCAAGCAGTGAGCAACGGGTTTCTTCAGTGTTTCCTGAGGCTGAGGTCAGAGATGCCTCCCCTGCAGCATCAACAGGTATGTGTGTGTGTGTCTGTCTTAACCAGCTCTTACGGCTTCTCACAGTATTTGTTTCTTAAATTAATTCATCACTAGAGCTGAGGAAAATAATCAAATAATCGATGTATCGGGATGCGGACATAAACGATTCTGCATCGTAGAACAGTACGCCATAATCGATTACAGTAGAATGTAGTTTTGTTTTTTTAATGGCAGTACCAGCGCTGCATCCAAGTCTGTCAGAGTGAGCGTCCTCCACATTTACCTCCGCCTTAATGTGGTACTGCAGGGCTGAGCGCTGGAGTTGTCACCTGAGACCGAACTGGAACTGAATCAGCCCGACCGGTTCTGTTGGATTTGGGCCGTGAATTATGTTAATTGAGCGGGTTGTCACGCGGCGCGCTCCGCTCGCTCGCACAGCAACTGGGGGGGGGGGGACTGCTCGAGAGGATCGGAGGACGCTCCTCCAAACCGATGCTCCAAACACGCGTTATTTTCATAATTTAATTATTATTTCTCCTGGAAACCTCAGTCAGACTGCTTGTTGTAATGTAGGGAGAGCCGGTCTTGGGGAGGGGGCGGGGTCAGTAACGGCGGCTGCAGCATGATCGTCTGTCTCTTTTATTTAGGGACACGGAGAAATTAAAAGGAGAGAGAAATAGAAGAAAGTTCTTGTTCCACTTTATTCTTTTGTTTCATGATGATAAACTGATGTTAAATTCTATTTTAAAAAACTGGGAGGAAGCTTTGGTTCATTTTAAGTTACAGGAGTGTCTCCTATCTGCTCCTCCAGAGACAGCATGGACATGAGGGTTACATGGTGAGGGTGACAAGGGACAGGTTAGTGGAAAGGTTTGTAGTTAGCTGGTTAGTGAAGGAGATCCATCAGCTGGGTAATTTAATCCTAATCCAGCCCACAGCCTTCTGCTGGTGTTATTATCAGAAAGAATAAAACACACATCTTAAATATTATTGGAAGTGTAGAATTTGTTTTATGTTTTATTGTTTTCTGCATCAAACAGAACTTGATTCATTCTCCAACATTTCAGAAACGAACCACTGGGTTCAAATAAAAAACAAACTAAGTGAAACATTTCATTTGGTGTTTTTTCTGACACCCTTCAACTGTGGCATAAATATCTGACTCTAGAGCTGCTCAGAGACATTAAACACTCATATATGAACCCATTATTGTATCTGATTATTACATTATGTTGTGTCCTGTGGGTTTTCAGTACTTTTTTAGATTTTGTGAGATATTGTAAAGCGTGTTTTCTCAGCCTGAGGCGTGGTGTTGAACGAGGAAACAGATGTTTTACTTTGTTAAATCTTCTTAAATGTTTAAAATGTTTTGTCCTAACCTGTTGTGAATGGAGAGCTTTTGAGGGATGGCAGGTTGTGTCAATTACATTTTTGATTAAAAAAAAAAAAAGCAATTATCTGACATCTTCTATTTATCGATGAAAACAAATCAATATGAAATAATCGTGATGCATCGGGATATCGAATCGAATTGAATCGTTGACCCAATAATCGTAATGGAATCGAATCGGGAGACAAGTGAAGATTCACACCTCTATTCATCACTAGAAAATACACAAAGCTGTGCATAAAATGAATTACTAAATCTACAATAACATAGTATAAAATGTTTATTATTTAAATACAACTGGTGTGGTCGAAAAACACATCATTACTTTTCATCTAAATTGCAGTACAACATATGTGCGATCCGGGGCGTAAGGCAAAGCAGATTAGAAAGTTTTTGGCCCCGTTGACTTGCATTAATTTTTTCGTTCTTCCGGGGACCCGTGAGCTGACCGGAAAGAGAGGAGACTTGGCTCCCCTTTGTAAAAGGCAACAATCTTTGCACTACTATAAAATAAGGCTGCTCAATTAATCGAATTTTAATCACGATTACGATCTGAGTTTTGAACGATTATAAAAACAAAACAAGCCGATTATTTGCTCCTCCCACTTGTGCTGCCCCGAGTAACAAATGAAGCGCTCCTCAGTGTTGCCAACTTTGCGACTTTGACACTATTTCCAACAGCCTTTCAGACCCCCTTCTTGACTTTTTAAATCTTAAAAGTACCTAGCGAACACCTCAGAAACATCTCTGGTGACCCTTAGCTACTTTCTGGATAACTGTCGTCGACATTTCCTGCAGGTTAGCTAAACTCTCCGCCTGCGCTCCGGACCGTTCTTCAGGACATTAGGAAAGGGAATGATGTAGTGACGTGTCGGTCGCTATGAAACAGCTCTTGGAGCCGGCTCCTTGTTGGATTAACCAGAGTGAGTGACACACACTGTACCTGCGGGCTCCTGAGCCACTAAAAACGGCTAAATGTGTGCGTGCGGCGTGCTAAACACGCGTGCAGCTTGCCCGATTGCTGTGAGACCGGGTTGGGGGGTGGGGGTGCAGCTGTGGTTGGGACAATTATTACATTAACTGATGGACTTGTAAATAAATAGTTTATAAATAAGGTAGAAATAAGTTCCTCACGCTGATAAATAATAACTAATCTCTCTGAGGACACGGTGCTAGTGCACTCTCCTACAGCACCTTGACACGACTCAATAAATGTTATGCAATATTTTGTGAACATCAATTTATTTGCATTTATTTGTTATAAATGCCTCTGTATAATTCTTGCTGCCAGTATTTGCAAGATGTTGGTATTTGGGTCTGTACTGGTTAGACTTAAATGAGTAAAACCAAGGTCTATAGCCCTTGGGTCATAGACTATGAGCTATAAGTATATTGGTCTTTTTATACTGGGAATCAGGAGTTCTTTTAGTGATCATCTTGTTTCTTATTTATTTTTGTCCTGATTATTTATTGAGTCGTGTCAAGGTGCTGTAGGAGCGTGCACTAGCGCTGTGTCCTCAGAGAGATTAGTTATTAGATATCAGCGTGAGGAAGTTATTTCTGCCTTATTTATAAACTATTTATTTACAAGTCCATCAGTGAATGTAATAATTGTCCCAACCACAGCTGCACCCCCCACCCCCAACCCGGTCTCACAGCAATCAGGGCAAGCTGCACGTGTGTTTAGCACGCCGCACATGCACATTAGCCGTTTTAGCGGCTCAGGAGTCCGCAGGTACGGTGTGCGTCACTCACTCTGGTTAATCCAACAGGGAGCCGGCTCCGAGAGCTGGTTCTTTCGCGACTGACACATCACTGCATCATTCCCTTTCCTAATGTCCTGAAGAACGGTCCGGAGTGCAGGCGGAGTGTTTAGCTAACCTGCAGGAAATGTCGACGACAGTTATCCAGAAAGTAGCTAATGGTTACCAGAGATGTTTCTGAGGTGTTCGCTAGGTACTTTTAAGATTTAAAAAGTCAAGAAGGGGGTCTGAAAAGCTGCTAGAAATAGCGTCAAAGTCGCCAAGTTGGCAACACTGTGGAGAAGCGCTTCATTTGCAACTCGGGGCAGCGCAAGTGGGAGGAGCAAATAATCGGCTTGTTTTGTTTTTATAATCGTTCAAAACTCCGATCGTAATCGTGATTAAAATTCGATTAATTGAGCAGCCCTATGCACAAGCATTTTTTCACTTTTAAGTAAAGTTTAAGTTTTGAAAAGTAATTTTGAATAAAACTTGGAAGAATAACTTTCAATTGCTTGCTCATTTTAAGAGGTCTTTCATATTTCATAACATGCTATTTCATATAATGGTTTACAAACACAAAAGGGTAATTTATTAGAGTACTCGATTAATCGATAAAAGATATGACAGAGTACTCCATTTCAAAAATATTCGATAGCTGCAGTCGTAGTGCTTATGATACCAAACTTTGGACTGTTTCTGCCCCCGTGTCTTTGCTGGTTTCTCAGTTTTCCTCCACAGCACCTAGATAAGCACATTGCGTGCCAGTAAAAGGCATCTTCCTTAGACAATAACTACATGTGCAACAGATGTGTCTCCCGTTCTGATCTGCCTCGGTCGGCTCTGCTGACGCATCAGATAAGCTGCGCGCATTGACTGCTACATAAAGGATGCACAACACAACCAATCGATGA